CACCCCAAGTGACAATCTTGACGGCTGCAGTCTTGTCTGTTGTCACTTGAGCTCCGCCTTTGTCGATGATCTCTTGGATTTCAGAGAACATCAATGTCCCAGCAGAAGCGGAACATCTGCCTGGGGTACCACCGGCGCTGAAGCCACAACCGGCGGACTTGCAGCTTGGATTCGAGAGGGTAAAGCTACGTCCGTAGAACCCCATACCCATGACGACCTTCTTGGGGTCGACATCATTCCGCCACAGGAGCTCGAGGGCACGATCAATCTCTGTCAAGTTTGTGTGGCTGTTGACGTACGGTCCTAGATAAGGGTTCGTGCCATCCCAGGTGCCGTGTAAGTCATAGCTCATCATGTTGAACCAGTCCAAGTATGGCTGGATGTTCTTGAGATCGAAGTGCTGGAGGTACCAGTATGATGCCGGGAGCGTGATAGTGAGGCCCTTCGTTCCCAGTGCTGCGCGCAAATTCTTGAGAAAAGTGACCAAGTTCTTGTAGTCTGCAGGAGTGCCAGAGCGCTCCTCGGCAACGGGATATTCCCAGTCGATGTCGACACCATCGAAGCCATATTTACTAGCGAAGATTTCTCGTCAGTCGAGATTCATTAAATGAGAATGCTTCACAAATACTCACTTCATAAAAGACAGAAGAGATGAGAAGAAGACGTCCTGCTTCGCTTTTGATGCTGCCAATTCAGAAAACGTGCGCTTGGTCGGCTGATCAGGGTCGTTCATGCTCCAGCCCCCAATGGCAATCTAATTTGCAAAAAAATGAGCGACAAGTCCTTCCACACAGGTGTATATATTGAAGTCTCACCCAGACTTCCATCCCAGGGTTGTAGTTCTTCAGTGCCGTGAGTCGAGGCATGAACTTCGAGTCGGAATCTTGCATATTCGCAATCTTATACGAGGTGGGGTCAATGAAGGCGAACGCGTAGTTGAGATGAGTGTAAGCGGTGTAGAGTAAGTCCTCAGGGTTCACTGACGAAGTTTTAGTAGACAGTCTCCTATTTATCTCGGAAGAAATACTCGAAGAGTCAATTACAAGATTACTTTAAGAGGTAATTACCGTAAAGAGTAATTCGTCTTGGAAGTGAATACTCTTAAGGGCAGTTCATTTGGAGAGAAGAAATTGCTTCAAATAACGATTGCCTTGAATGGTAACTTGAACTTACATCCATTGCAGGCCTTTGTTGTTGACCACCCTTCATAGTAGCCGATCACTCGCTTGCCTGCAGAAGAGCCACCGGGACAACTGGGTGCCTTGACCTTCTTGTCGCCGCAGAATTCCTTGGTAGTTCCGCAAAAGCCAAACTTGGAGCAGCATACGTTGAGAGGGCACTTCTCTCTCTGGCTCCAGGCGGATCCCCAGCCTGGGTCACATTCACTTTTGGCACCACAACTGGAAGTGCAGTTCGCGGGTGCGCAATAGCTGGGCCCAAGGCCACAGACCTAATTCTCAAATTAGCAATTGAACTTCCCTCTGAATTTGGGATACCTATTTAAGTCACTCACATTATTCTTACCACAGCAGCCAAGTTTGCATGGCCTGGTGGGGGAACAGCTGTAGTCCTGCTGGGCTATCACTCCCGATGCAACGAGTAAGAGACAGAATAATAGCACAGCCGGTTTGAAGAGCTTCATTCTTGCAATTGGTACATGAAACTTCAATGTAAGTGATTATGGTTCTGAAATGCCTCATGTTCCTGAGATAAACTCATTGTTTTGTTTCTTCGCGGGAACCTAAGAAAAGGACTGACGGCATCGGCTGGCCCGGATTCCAAGGGGGTCCCAGGTTTGATCACATGGTGACTAGAGACAAGTCGTATCACATTCGACCTGTGTAGGATTTTGTGGAAGTGATGATCGACCCAGACCTCAATCAATCTGCAACCTCCCTTCTTTGAAATGATTTGGTGTGGTAGATAAGACATAACTGATTGTTGATATCGTGGGAAGCGTGACCCGTTCTTATGATGCAGTGACTCTCCGTACTTCTAACAGCTGCTGATTGTGTCTTAACTAGTAGGTTGCAATTTGAAAATGACTTTGCCATCGACAGAGATCATCAGATGTGCAAGTTGGCAACGCTGATTTGGCGCCACAAGTGTGATGGAGTAAGGGGACACTTAAGCTAACGGGTCGTGTTGCTAGCGCCCTGCGTATCCGTTTACTACTTCAGTATACACCACATGCGCCATTTAGTAACAGTAAGACAGTTCTTACCAGTCGTTCAACTGCACAAGAGGGTATTTGTGTGCAAAATGTCGACCTAGGCGAGGTGGTGAGCTCATGCATGTCAGATTGACTCAAATGATTGTACCTCGGGCAGCAAAAACAGAATTGAGACAACGATCAGCGTTTGAATCTTCTTACAGCTGGTTGGCAATATGTCAGCCCATGTCTTACTCAAGAGAAGCTTTCAATGTGGCAGAACCAGACCAAGAGCCCAGATCATATGGTTGTGGATATGCGAAGTCGGATGCCCGAAGTAATACCCACATGCAATTACTACCTTACCTGGTAGTCCATACTTACATAGGACGGGCTCTCCTGACTCTGGTAATCTTGAGGTTGTCGGTTGAAAATTGCAGCTCAAAACAAAACCTATCTTACTCACCAAAACTTAGTTGAACTCAAGATGAAGTCAATTTTGCCTTTGAGCCTAAGTATTTCCTTGTGGCCTTTGGCCACATTTGCCGACCCAAGTGTAAGTTACCCCTACTTCCGGATCGACTTGATCTAGAGATACTAGAGAATAGCATGCCGAATGCGAATAGTCGACTAATCTTGTTAGTTCTTCTTCTTTGCAAACCAATCTGGCACAGTCTTTGATGGCATCTCATCCGGATGCAACCTGGCGTTATCAGCCCCTGTCCCAGAATGCCCCCGAGAACTCTTGAACCTCCTCGGAGGCGGCGGCTATCATACGGTACTCAATGAGACTGTCATGGGTGTTCTTTGCAGATCTGAGTGTTCTCCGGCATTGGCGACTTACAGGAGCAACGTTGTCTCTCAGTGCGCCAAAGACCCCCAACCCAGAAGTGGCTATCCGTCAACCTACTGGGTTGACTCTGTCACTGCTGTCCGGACGCAGATGTGCTTGAAAGACTCCAAGACTGGAGAGTACTGCACTCGTTAGTAAAGCCCTCTTGTGAAGCGCTCCTGCTCCAATGGTCTAATTTGCACGGAAGAATATCTCGAGCGAGTTCTCGGCGATGCCACGAGTCCAGCGGATCTGCTCGGCGGGTACTCCACTGCACAGCTCTGCTCCGAGTGTCTGGTCAGCCTATTCCGCCATCAACAATCGACCCCGTACTCAAATTATGACCCCGAGATGGCTCAGGCGTGGGCGGCCATTCAGTTAAAATGCAGTCTCAGTCTTCCAACAGCAACTCAGACATTGAAAACGAACGTGACGTCGCTTGGGAACTATGCTCCGCCTGGTTATGCAACTGCGGTGTGTGTCGCAGGCCGCACGTACACGGTGGCTGCTGGTGACAACTGCATTGATATCTCAAAGAAGAGCGGCGTTTCGACGGGCTCGTTGATCACGCTGAACAGCCTGCGGATGGACTGTACGAACATCTTTGCCGGTCAAGTAAGTTCCCGATTTTATCAATGCCGGCGATCAACGCGAGAGTTCGGTTTGACTGACATTGAGGGTTGGTAGAATCTCTGCCTTCCACCTACTTGTACTAGCTACGTGGTTCAAAGCGGCGATAACTGTTTGAAGGTCGCCACGCAATTCAATACGACCTACCAGGAAGTGATCGCTTGGAATCCAAGTAAGTTCTCAGCATGCAGAAAAATGATGCCAGTTTCAATCTTCCCCTTCTGATCGAAAAATCAGCTGTTGATAGTTACTGCACCAACTTGATCGCAGGCCAGAATATCTGCGTTGGGCCGCCGGGTGGTGTTCTCAACTTCACTACAATCCCAGGGGCAACAGTAACTAAGACTGCAATTTACGCGACCGCTACGGCTGATAGACCAGCGCCTGTCGCGAGCGGAACCACAACCAAGTGTGGCAAGTATTACAAGGTCCAGTTGGTATGTCCCTCTGGATTGTGCAATTGCAAAGCGACTTGAACAAGCTGGTCCTTGAGGCTGAAGTGTTAATTCACGCTAACCATCAATTTTCGCATTGATCTAGGGCGACTACTGTGAGCTTGTGGCTTTAAACCAGACAGTTTCGTTGGATCTTTTCCGAGCGATGAATCCCCAGGTGAGTTGAAGAATGACTTACACGCCCAAAGACCGGAACTTAACTAACGGCGTGACCTAGATCAACAGTGGGTGCACTAATTTACAGGCCAATGTGTTCTATTGCGTGCTCCCCACCCAAGATTGGAACACCACAGCGACTTCAACAACCGTGCCAGCTCCAACGTCCACGCCTCCCGGAACCACAGACAAGTGCTATCAGTAAGATTTCTTTTGGTTTTTGCTGCGACTTAATAACCATCCAAGTTCTTCAAAGCTCACTTTTCCCTTTTTTTCTTTAGGTGGTATGTGATTCAATCCGGTGACTACTGCGCCAAAGTCCAGGACAAGTTTGCGATTTCTTTTGAACAATTTCGTGCATGGAACCCTGTAAGTGGAGAAAAAACCCGAAACCACTAATGAGTTGCTAACAAGGAGTCATTAGGCAATCGCAAGTGACTGCTCCAATCTGCAGCTGGGGTTGGCATACTGCGTCCAAGGCGCCGCTTCCCTCGCAGCGCGGGCGACGGCCGATGCCTTCAGTCAGTCCGACCTCAACCACGTAGCTCATTATCGAAGGAATGGGGTTGGACCTATTGAGACGGGGGTGCCTGAGTCTGAAGTGGGAGGTGTTGCTATTGGGTGGCCTGGTGTGGACTCTCCAAGATTGAGGAGTGCAATGGGATTGTCAGAGAAAACGGAGTTGTAGAGGGTTTGTTCTTTGCTACCTAGTAGAGACGACATCCCTTTCATCTCGCACTTCTAAGTCGTGCGCTTCCCAAGATTCGAATCCTGACTAAACTCTACGGCGCTTTCTCATTCTTTCCGGAGACGGTGCCGTAGACCACCATACGTCTTCCAAGTCCTCACTTCCGGAGGTGCCGGTCTCGGCATCCGCTAGACCTTCCAACCCCCGGACACTTCGCGTAATTCTTCTCAATGGCATTATATCCGAGTCAAGGAGCCACCAAAACTCTTCGACAATCGTCTCTGCAGCAACCTTGAAGATTGGCTTGAACCATTCCCTCTCTTCGTGACCCTCTTCCAACCCAGGATCCGTGTCTGCGGCGACCGCGAGAAAGAACGGTGCCGATGTCCGCCACCACTTGGACTTGGTTGTCGGTCGGTCGCCTTCGCCCAAATCCAGTACGGATGCTACCACAGCCGAAGAGGTGACAAGAAATACTTTCTCCGAAAGCCCGGCTGGAAGATCGGATTTCATGTTGTCGAACTTGTCGCGCAGGTCATCAGCAGTGGCACTGGCCAAAGCCGGATCCTCAACCCATCGTATCTCGAATTTCGACTCGGCATCCTCGAAGTACTCGGGGACATCGGCTCCGTCTTCATCTCTCTGAAAAGGAATTTCAACGATTCTTTGAACCTGCTGAACGAAGATCTCCCATCGTTCCTGGTCGTCGTAGCAGGCCGTTCGGAAAGCCACCATACCCCATGTCTGGCCCTCATGGCGCTTCTTCCAATGCTTCAGCCAGTTCGGGGGTATGTAATCGACCTCGAGATTCTTTGTAGTCTCAGCAGTCGATTCGTCGCCAGGTCTTTTAGCATCGTGTTGCTGCTCCTCGAATACGTGCATCGCCAGCTGCCCAACACCTTCCTCTCCTAGGACATCCCGTAATCCGGCCTGCATTTTCAGCAGTTCATCCACGGGAAGGGAGGTCACGTCATCTGCGGTCGCATGTCGATAGCGGTTGTAGTTCCAACCTGGGGGCCAGTAGGAACTTGATGCATCCGAGTAGACAGGTTGGGTGGTAGGAGTGGCAACCTGGGGCGTGTCTAGCTCTGGTGCGTCTTCGGCGAAGCTGGGACGCGGCATCTCGTTCGTCGACTGATTCTCTCAAGCTAGTTGTCCCCTGATAGATGAATGGAAGTGTAAATGTGAGATTTGCTCCCAAATTCTAGGTGAAAAGCCGTCGAACAACTTTAATACAGCTGATGTTTGGAGCAGGCAGGAACCCCTCTGATGACATGCACCTTCCCTTACTTACAACACCTCCTTACATAAGAGCGGTACGTATTCCAAGACATCAGCCCCTGATCGACTGAGTCTTACTCTCACTCTCACTCTCACTCCTCGCTTCGACATCACACACGTCTGCGTCAACTTTATGCAGTCTCACTCTACACGTCGTCAATTTACATCCCACTGCCGGTCTCGATTGATCTAGCCCTTGTGCTGATGAGGCACATCCCATGATTGGCTGATGGAAGAAATCTTCTCAGGAGCGATCTAAATGATGATGCAGACCCAGTTAGGGAAACAATGAAATGGCCAACCGTGCACTGGGGGAGGTCTGAAAGTGGTCCTTTCCTAGTGCTCATATTGACATAACAAAGGAGATATATATAATTAGATCTAGACACATTCTAAGGGTATTGTTCGTAATGAATCATGCTTGGACACATCATAGAAAGACAAAACCATAATACGTAAAACTTTTATCACAGATTCCCACCGACAGGCTTCATGTAAGGAAACTTTCACTCCTCGTCACTCTCGGAGCTGGAATCGTCGTCGTCCTCATCGTCATCATCTGTGAGGTATTAGCATCTGTGGAAATTGGTTGAGAAATGTTGATGTGTGCTTACCATCAGCCGGGGTCTTGTTCTCAGCAACACCGTTGGTTCTAACGCGAACCTGCTTGTAGTGAAGGGGATCGCTCTTCAGATCCTCACCCTCCACAGCCGCGCCGCCATCTTGCACATACTCCTTCAAGTCGGCGAAAAGCTCCTCGCCAAACGCACCAGACTTCTTGGCTCTGGTAATCAACTGGCCCACAACGCTGGACGCCATCTTAGCAGGCGTGTTGAGGATCTTCTCAATAACCTCACGGTGACCGAAGCCACACTTGGCGTGAGGGTCATCGACGGGCGCGCCCTCGGCCGAGCTGTCTCTGAAGCGCAGACCGGGGGTTTGGTAGCGACGGATGCGGACTTCGCCGTAGGCCCTGGCAAGGTCGACGGCGCTGACCTTGATCTTGGCGGGCTCGGGAGGGGGCCACAGCTTCGACTTGGTCAAGCCCATGATGGCGGATCCGAGGAGGAGCTGTTCGCAGTCTTCCGCGGTGCCATCCTCAGTGCCGGCGTGGCAGTAGCGGATCTCCTCGCCGGGGTAGCAGGAGGGGTTGAGAAGGCGGTGGACAGGGTTGCTGACGGCCTTGATGATTTTGTCAATGGCCTCGGCACGGGTGGCGGTGAGCATGCGGATGACCTCGTCCGAGATGGGCTGGTCTTTCCAAGGGCGGCCCTTGGAGTCCTGGAGGGCACCATCGGGTCCGACGCGGGACTTGTAGGCCGCCTTGGCCAGCACGCGGCTGAACCAGCGGGCCTCGCCGAAGACCCAGCTAAGAACGAGGGTCTTATCCTCATCGTTGCGGGCGCCGGCCATGAGAACGTGGCGGTTCAGGGCGATGACCCAGTCGTTCATGAAGGGGACGAGCAGATGGGTGGCGGCATACTTGTCGGAGGCAAGGGCCAGGTCGTACAGATCGCCGACGTTGGGCATGGTGGGGAGCTCGTGGAACTTGAAGTGGGCGATGGAGAAGAGCACGTCCAGGCCGCTGGCTGTGTCGGCAGAAGACTGGAGCTCGATAACGCTAGAAGTGTTGTTGGCGAGCAGCTCCTTCCAGACGCGGGAGGCGGATGCGAGAGCCGCGGAGCGGACGGAGTAAACGATCAGCGATCCATTTGTGTCGCGAACCTTGATGTGAAGGTCAGAATCCTCGTGGTAGGAGATTCTCTTATCGGCTTCGGGGGTGGCCGGGCGGGGAGGGAGGATGGCGACGCGAGTTGCGAGCTGAGCACCCTGCGGCTCCTGTGCCTCAGTCTCATTCTTCTCCTCGTCTTCCTCCTCATCCTCAGAAGAGGAGTCATCGGCGTCATCCTCTGCAGTCTTGGTGGTCTCGGCTACAGAAACGGCCTTGGGCTTCGCGGACTCCGCTTCGGTGGGGGCAGGGGCCGAGGGAGCGCTCTCCTCCTTCTCTTCGGGGACGGTCGTGGGCTTGACCTTCTCGTCGGGGATAGAGGGGACGGCGGGGACGGCGGGCTCCTTGGTGCCGAGGAAGGACTTTTCACGGCCGGGCATGGCGGTCATGGGTCTCTTAACCTCGTCGCCGTTGTTTGATTGGACCAGAGAGGGGATACTCTGAGAAGAGTCGGAACGCTTCATGAAGTAACCATCCTTGACAGGGCCGAAAGTCGGAGTGGGAGGGCTGGAGGTGGCATTTTCGTTGGTGGTCTTTGTGGTAGGGGCTCTATTCACTGGTTAGTTTGGAATCTCATTCATCGTCGGTATAAGTCAATAACTTGTGCCGGTACAGATTCCTCGAAAAGGAGCTGATACAATACTGGAGTGGCATGGGAAGCGAGGGCATAGCAGAAAAAGACCAAGGAACGCTACCGAAGGGAGGATATTCGCAAAGGCACAGATGGCGGCCGCGGCGGCAACACTCTTTTAGGATGCCTTACGATTGCGCTGGCAGAGCGGCGCCCTCCTTGAGGGTCTTCCGTCATTGCATCTTGATCCTGCCAGTGACGATGCTGGGCAAAGGAGTCATCAGGCGCGTCACCCTCGGGTGGTGTTGGCGGACTACGAACACCCGTGTAAGAGAGGGAAGCTGATTGGAGGCGGGTTGGGTTCGGTTGGGTGTCGACGTTGCTGTTTGGAGCCGCGACAGACACGTCAAACATGCAAGACGACGAACTCGTCGAGCTTGAGTCGGGCGGCCGTTGAACAACTGGAGGGGCATGCATCTTTGGTGGAGATGTTCAAAGCCGCGGCGCCCGCTGTTGCAGCCGGTCCGGTCGAAGCGGGACCCCTTTCAGGGTCCAGCATAAAAGCAGGGGTCGAGGCGAGCGATGCTTGCAAGGGGACGGGCAGAGGATAGAGAGAAAGAAGAGCGGTGAAGCAGGATATTGTGGCCGGGACAACTGAAAGAAGAGAGGAAACAACTTTGAAGTAAACAAAACAAAACGTACCTCTTGAAGCGGTTGTTGAGGAAGAGAAAACCACTTCCAGACTTGCGACGTTCGGGGTCTTGACCAGAGGGGGTCCTCCGGTGAGACTCAAAAAGTGCGGGAGACATTGTGAGGGGGTATCAACGGCCGTAATTTCGGAAAACAGGAAACAAAAAAAGAAGACAGGAAAACCAAAAGCGAAATTCGTCACGCCAAATGAAAAGCAACTGCTAGACGGAGAAGCAGTTATGCAAAGGTCTCAGATGTCGTGAGTCGTGACCAAACAGAGATGAGGAAACAAGAAAGAAGAAAGGCAAATGTGAACGCTGGACTTGATGCTCATATATACGTGCTCGTCGGTGCATCAACCCGAGATACCATGTTCACAGTTCTCAAGCTCAGTACTCGTATGGTATCCACCAAGAGGGTCGGTATGGCAAATCAAAGTAATCAATATTGCCCGTCTACCGTCCGTGAACCTCTCGATGGCCAACATTCTGGAGTCGCCGAGGGATGGTGCGGCCCACCGAAGTGGCTGGCCAACTAAACCTGAACCAAGATTAAACGAAAGGGAAGGTCGAAAAAAAAACATTGGGCACCAAAGAAAAAGCTCGCGAGTCGCATAAACAATCACCGCCCTCTTTCTTCACCGCTGGCATCGCGTCGTCGCCTCGCCGGACGACCGCGTCCAGGGCTCCTGGGAAAGATTGGAAGATTTTCTCACGAACCCTTGCTGGATATGACATTCTTCTCCCCCCGGGAGCTCGGGACACCTGCAGAATTCTTTTCGAGATCCACCTCTTAGTGACATTTAGCGCAGTTCGCGTTGGATATCCTTGGACATCCTTGAATATCTCATCCATCAGCAGGGGGGATGCAGTCACATTTGGCGATCGCCTCCACCGCCCTTTGCATGAAGCACCCTTGGCCGCATGAAACATTGACGGCGGCCGTTTCTACCGCTCTTTGCTTGTGAGTATAGTGTCGAAAATCTGGGAAAAAGAAGGAGATTTTTCAACGTCGGGTGAGGCTGTCGAAGTCTTGAGGCGAGAAAAGCGACTCGGAACCCGCTGGCATATGGGTGGATGAGAACACATGTCGCCATGAGTTGTGATAGTCTGCGAGTTGTGCATGCATCAGAGTTGTGCACCTTGACTAGGTAGTCATTGGGGGAGAAACGGGTTCTGATATCTCTCGTTGCGAGCTTCGACATGGAGGCTCTGCAAGAGAGGGTCAAGAAGAAGACTAAACCCAGCCTCCTGCAGTCACTCGCTCAAAGAATGATTGGATAGATCGGAGTGCGCATCTAGATTCGGCGGGAGATGCAGGATGCGCGTTGAATCGTCAGACGATTTCTCGGCTTCTCATGACCCTGCAGTTATTTAGTTCACGTTAGGCACAAATGCTTCATAATAAAAGCACGGTCCATTATGCTTTATACAACTTGAATATTGGGAATATTTTGTTATGAACATATCGCAATCCTCCCCTGACCCAGAACTCCAATTAATGCCCAAAGGTTTAATAAAAAGAAGCAGCTTCAAGCTTTTGCAACCCCCATGCCATTTACTGCCCAACGATGACGCCAGGAGACAGCTCCAAACCTATGGGCAGTCCCTTGATAAACTTCTGGGTAAAGGGAGCTCCCGATCGTTGAGCAATGACCTCCTCGATGTCCTTGTACATGTCGTATCTGTCATGTCGTTAGTAATGATGTGAGAAACGTCGTTCGAAGCTGGAAAGCTTACCCGTTCATCTCCTCGATGGTGAGCTTAGCTCTCTCATCAGCAACCTTGTATGTGCTGGTGCTGGTGTTGTTTGAGAAACCTGAGTGGAGATTAGCTTCTCATCTTTTTCCAA